TGATGGTTACTTCCTGTGTGACTCTGCAGTAAGTCACTTAATCTCTTTGGGCCTCAGTTTCCTCATATGTAAAACCAGGAGGTTGGGCCAGATGGCCTGGAAATCCTGTCCAAGGTCTATCGATCCTATGAAATGCTTTTGCAGGACTATTAAAATGTAAGCCTGGTCACCTAACTGGCATCAATCATTGCCAGGCCCTTTGCTAGGTGCTTTGTTGTTATTCGGTCACTTCAGCCATAAACGACTCTGTGACCCCGTCTGGGGTTTTTTTTGGTATAGACACTGGCGTGGTTTGCTGTTTCCTTCTCCATTTTACAGATGAGCAAACTGAGGCAATGGGGGTTAAGTGACTTGCCCAAGGTCACACAGTGTCTGAGGCTAGATTTGAACTCAGGAAGGTGAGACTTCCCGGCTCCAGGCCTGTGCTTTATCCACTGCACCAACTTACCAGGCACTTGGGGTACAGATAAAAAGAATGAAGCAGTCCCTGCTCAGAAGGAGCTGATGAACACAGTCATCGTGGCCCTCTCCCCACCTGCTTAGTATTCTCAGGGGGAATATGCCCCGTTCCTCCCAATGACAGTATGTGGAATGGAGGCCCCTCCCCACCCTGGATGCCTCCTCTGGACACTCTCCAGCTTATCAAAGCCCATCTTGAACTATGGCACCCAGAACTGAACCACCCATTCTTGGGATGAGACCTGCTGAGGGCAGAGAACGGTGAGGTGTTGCCCCCCCTTCCCCAAAATGCCCCTCCCACTGAAGTCAGCCTTTTAAGCTGCTGCGTCAAACCGTTGATCTGCTGTTTCACAAAAACCCCACAATCTTTCCCCCGACAAACTGAGGCAAACAGATATGGAGCCACTTGGCCAGGGTCACAGAACTGCTGGGGTCACATTTGAACTCGGGTCTTCCTGACCTGGGCCTCCAGGCCCTGTGCTCTATCCACTGCACTATCCAGGCCCTGCCATGGTTAGAATGAATTTTTTGAATCCAAGTATAAAACCTGGATTTATATTTTTTCCCCATTGAATTTCGTCTTATGAGATCTGGCCCCGTGCGTTAGCCTGCCAAGACTTTTTTGGATCTTGACTGTCATCCAATGTGCAAGCTACAACTTATTATCATCCAAAAAATCTGATAAGCATGAAGCTGGGTGGGCAAATCACTTGACCGTACTCAGCCTCAGTTTCCTCATCTGTAAAAGGGGGATAATTATAGCCCACCCACCCAGGGTTGTTGTGAGGATCAAATGAGATCATGATAATTATAGAGCTTTGCACACTTTAAAACGCCATATAAATGCTCGTATTTATGGAAAATGACTTTGGCAGCAGTGTGTAGGATTCGTGCCATGTGGATTTTTCTCAGACTTTTGAGTCTAAGGTTCCTGGGAACTTGAACAGACCATGCTTGAACCTCTCTTAGGGCATCAGAAGACTGTTTTTAGATTAAGGGTTTAGATAATGGGCTTTAAATGTACCTCAGCTCTTTGCTAAGGACAGAAGTGTGAGGAGAGTTAGCTGGCTTGTGAGGGCCAAGCCTTGAAGTTGGCCCCGATGTTCCCTGCTTCGTTTCAGTCCAATAACCATAGGGAACCTTGGAAGAAGAGGATTTGTGCTCATGATGCTGAAAAGTCTTCTGATTGGCTGTGGAACTGGAAGAAGTGATGATTCATGGGCTGCTAAGCCAGACCTACATAGGTATACAGAAGCCGTGACCCTTCCCTGGGTCTCTTGGCTTTGAAGTTTCCACTGAAGTGAGACTACTTCGAGCCGGTTCTGAGAGTTGGGTGAGGGAGGGACAGAAGCCCTTTCTTCTTCTTCTTTTTTTAATTTAACATCTTATTTTTTCCCCAAATTTTCCCAATTTTAACATTATTTTTTTTTCAAAGTTTGAGTTCTAAATTCTTTCCCTCCCTCCTAATTGAGAAGGCAAGCAATTTGACATAGATTATACATGTGTAGTCATGAAAAACACATTTCCATGTTAAGTCATGCTGGGAAAGAAAACACAGATTAAAAAAACAAAACAAGAAAAATAAAGTAAAGAAAAAGTATCTTTGTCTGCATTCAGACTCTACCAGTTCTTTCTCTGGTGATGGACAGCACCTTTTTTTTTTTTCCTGCTTTTGGGTGATTGGGGTTAAGTGACTTGCCCAGGATCACACAGCTAGTAAGTGTCAAGTGTTTGATCTGAGGCCACATTTGAACTCAGGTCCTCCTGACTTCAGGGCCGGTGTTCCATCCACTGCGCCACCTAGCTGCCCCTAGACAGCACCTTTTATCATGAGTCTTTCAGAATTGTCTTGGATCATTGTATTGCTATCATTCACAGTAGACCATGATACAATGTGGCTGTTGCTGTGTACAATGTTCTCCTGGTTCTGCTCATTTCACTTTGCATCAGTTCATGTAACTCTTTCCAGGTTTTTCTGAGAGCATCCTGCTCATCATTTCTTATAGCTCGCTAGTATTCCATCACAATCATATACAACAACTTGTTCTGCCATTCCCCCCTGGACGGGAATCCTCTCAATTTATCAGCCCTTTCTTCTGCCTGGATGTGGTAGCTGTGAGCACATCACCACCTCAGTTTCTTGGTGTTTTTTTCCTTCCCAGAGTTTAGGTGAATGAATATTCCAAGATGGCAGTGCCCAGGTGATCTTGTGAAGTCAGGAGATTCAGAGGTGCCATCGAAAGTTCTACTGGAAGCTGGAGACGGATGGCAATAGTTGGGGTTGGCCCCAGATGGGTGGTGGCTGACAATGGTAGGTAGAGTGGATCAGTCCGGCAGGGAAGCAGACTGGACTATCAGAGGAGCTGCCTAGCCCCACAGCAGACCAACCCAACTGAGCAGAAGAGCAAATCGGCCATTATTGACACTTCATCCTAGAGTAGACTTAATGAGCACTCTCCAAAGGGAAAAATATTCTTCTAGAGCCAGGTTTCATGAAGTACCTGTTCATTATACACGTTCTCTACGTTCACTACTTAAGTTAGATGCCACTCTCCCTTCAGACACTGGTTTTATTGATAGAAGGTCTGGAGGGGAATGTTTGGACTACCTTTGCTCATGATACTTTCTTAGTAAATCTCTTTCCTAAAAATTAGTTGATGTCTACTGGCTAACTAAGTTAAGGATCACACTGGTGAGGGCTCATGAACAACATTACTAGAAACTTTAGGTAAAACTTAGGTTTACCCTTAAACTCTAAAAGAGTAGAAATCACTTCTCTGGAGACTCAACCTACCAGCTGAAATAGGAGTTGGGGAGGTGGTACCAGAGTGGGCGCGACATGTGGAAACATGGTAAGTTCTCTTTTTGGTAGGTGGAGTTTGAGTTGCCTCGGGGACATTCATATAGAGACAAGCACTGGATATGTTTATATTGGAGTCATCTGCACAGGAAAGATGGTTGAATCTATAGGAGTGGCTGAGATGACCTTGAGAGAGTCCGTAGAGAGAGAAGTGGAGAGTCAGTCCACTGGCATTTATTAAGCACCTACTATGGGCCAGGGACCATGCTAAATGATGGGGTTGCAAAGAAAGGCAGAAAGCAGTCCTTGTTATCACACAACTCATAGTCTAAGGGGGGGGGACAAACACAATATGCAAATAACTGTATAAACAAGATGTAGACAAGATAAATTGGAGTTGATTCTGAGGTTCAGGAGGGCTGGGAAAGGCTTCATGCTGAAGGTGTGCCTGTTGCTGAGACGTGATGGAAGCCACCAGAGGCGGGAGCTGGAGATGAGCAGGGAGAGAGAGTTCCAGGGACGGGGGCAGCCAGAGAAAACGCCCAGAGTCAGGAGCGACCTGGGCGAGGAGCCGCCGGGAGGCCAATGTCACTGGGCCAAGGAGTATGGAAAGGGAAGGAACATGGGAGAACACAGGGTAGGTAGGAAGGAATACCATCATGAAGGGCTTTGAAACCCAAACAAAGGATTTTATATTTGATCCTGGAGTAATAGGGAGCTACTACATTTTACTGAATGGGGAGGGAGAGTAACACGGTCAGATCAGTACTTCAAAAAGATCCCTTTGCTGGCTGAATGGAGGCTGGACTGGAGGCAGCAGACTCCCCCTCCAGCGGCTACTGCAACAGTCCAGGGGTGAGGGGATGAGGGCCTGCACCAGGGCGGGGGCAAGGGCAGAGGGGAGAAGGGGGAGTATTGGAGAGATGCTACAAAGGAGACATGAACAGGCCTTGGTCACAGCTTGGATAGAGGGGGTGAGAGTGAGCAGTCCAGAAAGACTCCTAGGCTGCCAGTCTAGAGGACTGGGAGACGATGGTGCCCTCCACGGTAACAGGAAGGTAGGATGGAGCAGGATCTGCGGGGAGAAGAATGAGTTTTGGACATACTGAGTTTAAGATGTCTACTGGGTATCTAGTTTGAGATGTCTGAAAAGTAGTTAGAGATGGAAGACTGGAGATCAGGAGAGAGATTAGGGCAGGAAAGATGTATCTGAGAGTCATCGGCGTAGAGATGGTAATTAAATCACGGAGCTGATGAGATCTCCAAGTGCAGTAATATAGAAGAAGCCCCGAGGGATGCCTGCATAGTGAGAGGGCGTGATCTGGCTGGACATCCAGCGAGTGAGGCAGAGGAGCGGTCAGAGAGGCGGGAAGAGAACTGGGGGGGAGGGGTGCCCCGAAATCCTCATATCGTCTCATTTTATCCCCACATCAACCCTGCCAGGGAGGGGCTATTATTATCTCTATTTTACAGATAAGGAAACTGAGGCAGAGGTAAAGTGACTTGCCTAGAATCACACAACTAGTAAGTACGTGCAAGCACAGAGCAGGGGTTCCGAGCTTGGACCAGCTGGCAGGGAAGGCCCCGCCCCTCCGCCCCCGTCACACACAGGCCCCGCCCCCGCCCCCGCCCGTCTCCTACGCCTTACAGTCACGCACAGGCTCCGCCTCCTCTGGCCCCAGGCCACGCACAGGCCCCGCCCCCACGACCTGCGGCCGCCCTGGGCCGGGCGGAACGCGAGCGGCTCGGCGTCGGGGCCGGCGGAGCGCGATACCCGGGACACCAGGCCGCCAGGCGCGTGCGCGGGGCACGGGTGCGGACCGAAGACAGGGCGGGCAGGGCGCGGAGCGGCGGCGGCGGCAGTAGGAGGAGTCGGAGCCAGAGCCGGGGCCGGGGCCTCGGCCATGGCCGCGCTGGGGGTGGCGGCCCGCGGGCTCGCGCGGCAGGGATGCTCCTGGGGGCCCCGGGCCTGGTGAGTCCGCCGGGCGGGGGAGGCGTCACGTGGGCTGAGGTCAGGACAGGAGCCCCTCCCCCTCCCCGGGTGACCTTGGCTCGCTCTGCCCCTCCCCGTTGGGGCTTCCTGTGCTCTGGCCTCACGGCGGGAGCACCCGGGTCACAGGGCCCAGCCACCGAACCTCCCTGGGCCTCAGTCCCCCCCCCCAGGGCGTCCCGGCCGCCTCCAGCTGTGACGCCGTTTGCGTGGGCGATGAGGCAGATCCCGGGGGGCTTCGAGGAGGAGGCGCGGGAGCTTATGGGGCCCAGAAGCGGGGAGATGCGCGTGCCCGCCGGGGTGTTGCCTGAGGGGGTGGGGGGGACGACAAACAGCCTCCCCGCCTTTTACACTGCCTGTTATGGGACCCTTTCTTGTCGTCCAGTCCTGTCTGACTTTCCGTGACCCCATTTGGGGTTTTCTTGGCAAAGATACTGGAGGGGTTTGCCATTTCCTTCTGCAGTTCACTTTATGGAGGAGGAAACTGAGGCAAACAGGGTGAAGTGACTTGCCCAGGGTCACACAGCTAAGAGGAAGTGTGTAAGGCTGGATTTGAACTGCAGGCCCTGGGCTCCACCCTCTGAGGTGCCCCCTAGCTGCCTGTGGGAACCCTTGGTGCAGCAGTTCCCAAACTTCAATGGCCTACGACCCCCTTTTCAAGAGAAAATTACTCAGGGCACCCCTGGAAATCTGCTTTCTTTAACCCTTTAACTTATTTTTAAAATTTGCATCATTTCTAAAAAAAATTGAAACTAATTTTTTAAAATAACAGTTTATTGTAAATTGTGGGTTTTTCTGCATTGGGGTTTTGATGATGCAATATTGCATCACGCAACCACATATTATGGTATTGTAAACAGGTCGTTACACACACACACACACACACACACACACACGTCGGTCTGCCAACATCTGCTTGTTAAGACCCCTTGGGGGACTTGACCACGGGTCAGTTATCACGTGCGCTTTATGTGTTTATTTGGAAAATAATGTAGTCACTAGGACTAACTCTGTTACCCAACAGATGAAACACCTACAAACGGCTTTTCAAAATTCTCTTCTTTCCGTATGCTTCTACCACTCCGTTATTTTTATTCTGGCACCCCAGGCTGCTGGGTGCCCCTGGATCGTTGCAGCACCCCCCCAGGGGGCTTAGTGAGTGGCCACGGTGGCCGGCAGGCCAGGTAGCATTGGAGCCAGAGTTTGCCTCCCTGTTAGAAGGCCTGTCCCAGGCCGGGGAGGACTGACCAGTGATTGGGATTGCATTTACTGGTTTACATGGCACTGGGGACATGTCCTTGACTCTCACGAAGGGGGGGCTCACGAAAGCCTGACCATGTCATTGTCTTCAGGCTGGGCTGGCCTGCCGCGCAGGCCCGAGAGAACCACGTCTGGCACACGTCGCTGCTGTCGCTGCGAGCCGCCCTCCCAGTGAGGTGAGACCTGGCTGCACGTGGGGTTGGGTTTGTGATCCTGGGAGTGTGTGGAGAAGAAAGGCCAGCCGGCTCCCTGGGCTCTCAAGGCCCGGGATGGAAAGGGCCTTGGTGGTGTCACCCCGGGGCCAGCCGGGCTGACCGTCCTTCCGATGCCTTTTGGGAGCCATGGGAGCCTGTGAAACTTGGTCGCTTTTGTCGGTGGATGGAGAGGGCCTGCGCCAACAAAGCTGCCAACTCTGGTGCATTTTCAAAGTGAGGATGGAAAGCAAAGCTCCTCATTTAGTGGGGGGCCTGGGGGCACCAAGCCGTAAGCCTTTTGCTGCCTGGCGTTCCTCGGTTCCAAACACTTTCTTACCTGAGACCAGCTCCTTCCGTGTCTAGTCTGTGCTAGACTGAGGAAGATGTCTGGCCTGGTGTGAGTCTCAGTGGCCTCTGGTGCACGGACCGTGTGCTCCACAGTGTTACAGGATGTTTTGATGTTTCTTTCGAGAGTCCGTCTTGTAGTATTAAGTCATTTCTTGTCTTGGCGATTTTTACAGTCTCTGGTTTACAATTCAGGGTCCCTGGCAAGCGTGTCTGTGAGAAGTGGGACACTGTGTCCATCACACATTGTCCGTCTTATTGGAGGACTACTGCTAGTGGAGGGGGGACGCAGGAGCTGAGTGTCTGCAGGCCCTCCCTGCACTTATGGCTGTTCTCATCAGCCTGGGGCATGGCACACGACTGTGGGACTTCCCCTTAATTCACAGCTGTGATTCAATGTACACGGTTGCACGTGGCTTCTCACGGAGGGGACAGTAGACCTTTGTTTGGGCCCCGGGTATACAAAGGAAGACAGTCCCTGCTCCCACACAGCACACCCGTGTCTTGGTGGGTCGTGTCTCACGCTCCCTTCCCCCCCCAGAGGAGAGCCTCTCAGAAAGAAGAAGAAGGTAGATCCTAGGGTGGAACAAGCTGCCAAGGACCGGCTGAAGAAGAGAATTCGGAAGCTGGAGAAGGCCGCGCAGGAGCTGATCCCCATCGAAGACTTCATCATTCCTGGGAAGTACCTGGAGGAGGAGAGGTAGGCCCGGGAGGGGCCTGTGAATAGGGAGCAGGGGCTTGCTCTGCGTTGTCCCCTTGGCCTTCTGGGCCTTGCTTTGGAAACCAGGAGAGTTGGAAGGTGGAAGGTAGACATAGACGTAGGTGCCCGCTTTGCGCTGGGCAGCGTGCTGAGGCTGCAGAGGAGAGAGAGATGGCCGCACAAAGAGTTTGTGCTTACTCTGTGCTGGGGATACAGATGGGACAGACAGGACAGGCCCGTCCTCAAGAAGCCTCCATTCTAGGAGGGAAGGCACCCATAAAGCAGAGCTAGAATATGGGGGAGTAGACGGGCCAGGCCTGGCTCCAAGTGCACTAAGTCAGAAAGCCACCCACACACCAGCCCCTAGGGTGGTCCCAGGGTGGAGTCCAAGGCTCCTGTGGTGAGGGCATGGTGGGGGGGGGTAGAAGGGTGAAATGGAAGGGGCAGTGTGGGGGTGGAGATTGGATCAAAACATAGCCTCTCTGTGTCCCCAGGCAGCGCCCAGATCGGCAGCTCCCCTTAGAGGACAGTGAGAGGAGGACCTTTCTCATGAAGAGGTGGACCTTTTACAAACAGCAGGAGCATGAAGCCGAGCGAGAGAAGATCAAGTCCCTGCTGGAGGCCCAGCAACAGGCCCTGCGGGAGCTGCGCCTGGAGTCTGAGCAGCTCTACGAGGCCGCGGCCCGGCGAGATGAGGGCTTGTTTCCCTTTGAAAAGGAGGGCCCGACCTACACCCCAGCCAGCCCCGGCTACCAGCCCCCCGAGGGCAAGTACAACGACATCACCAAAGTGTATGTACAGGTGGAGCACAAGAGGTAGGCCGGAAGCCAGGCACCCACCTTGTCCTGTGGACCTCTGGGAGAGCCCAGGCCCCGCCCACCCAGGAGTACGGCCTCTGTCCTGCAGTGTCTGGGCCTCAGAGACCTCCCTTTGTGCTGGGGAGAACAAAAAAGAACCTGCAGGGAGTTCCATGCTAAAGGAGGAGTCAGCCTAGACTGGAGAAGGCACCTTCGAGGAGGTGGGAGGGGGCCTCCGGGCCTCCCGCAGGGCTTGGGGGAGCAGTGGGTCCTGGAGGGTGTATTTCTTTTAATAAAAGAACTGTGATTCATAAACATCATGCTTAAGTATTTGAATGAGTTTTTATTGTAGAAAATGAATGGAAAGATTGCTGTTAAAAACCCCCAACCCTAGAGTTGCCTCTCCTGACCTGTCCAGGGTCACCGTGAGGGAGGATGGATCTGGGGTGAGCCCAGGCCTGCCCACCTGCAGCTCCTCCATCCCTGGTGATTACGAGGATCGAGATGGCAAATGGGATGGATGGATGGTGGCTGTGGAGATGTAGGCCCCGCTGCCTGCTGCCAGCCTGTCTACAGTGGAAAAGTGCTTCGTGTCTTGTGGGACACCCTGACACTCAGTGCCTCAGGCCCCCGCCAGGAGATTGGGCTTCTGAAGGCCCTCAACATTCCGCCTGACACGTCCTGTTGCTTTCTGTCTGTGGTCGTTGGTCTGGGCCTGATTTCGCCTGTGTGGGGGGGTTCAGGTCAGAGCTTGGGATGCAGAAGTTAAGGGGTTTGCACAGGGTTGGCCAAGGCTGGTCATTCCTGCCCCTGATCCTGGCCTCACACCCGAGGCCTCTCTCTCTCTGGGCCCCTGAGCCCCGCTTGCAGGGACAGCCTGGCCTTGGGCTTCATCCTCCCTGCTCAACGCAGCCAGCAGAAACGCTTCCCAGGAGCCGGGCACCAGGGCCCCCAGCCCAAGGACCACCGGCTGCATGTGAAAGACATTTTGGGCACAAAGTGGGACAATACGAGTGCAGATACATTGAAGGTTCACTATCGTGTGTGAGACCATGGGAACTAGAGAGCCTTCCCCAGCACTTTGATTTTTATTTTCCTTTTGGTGAGGCAAGTGGGGTTAAGTGACTTGCCCAGGGTCACACTGCTGGTAAGTGTCAAGTGTCTGAGGACGATCTGAACTCAGGTCCTCCTGACTCCAAGGCCAGGACTCTATCCACTGCACCACCTAGCCACCCCTGCAGTTTGATTTTTTAAAAATGAGCTGCCACTGGGTCCTTAGGAAGGTGCCAAGCCCATGTGCGGGCCTGTCATTTGTTTTCCATTGTACCAGGACCACCCACAAAAGTATGGAGACATTGGATGGGGATGGGTTTATTTTCAATTTTTGTTTAAAATCTGTTGTGAAAAGCCCGGCTCTTCGGGAGGGTCCTTCTCCAGAGCATGAAGTACATATGCACCTCTCAGCAAAGCGTGGCGGTCTAGGCTTGCCTCCTCTGCCCGCATCTGATGATGCCAGGGGAGGGAGGGCAGCTCAAAGCGCCCCAAGGAGCAGAGGCAGGTGCTGGGTGCCCAGGCTAGAGGGGGCAGGCAGGGCCTGGCAGTGGTCCCAAGCCTGAGCAAGCATCACGCCAGATGAGGACAGGAGGCGCCCTAGAGGTAACGCCAGGTCACTTCACACATACGTGTGAGGCGAGGGGCATTCTGATGTCCCCAGAACACAAGACCCTGGTATTCTGGATGCCTTTTCCCCAGGAGTGGGGGAGAGGGGACGGTAAATTGTGCTGTCTGAAGAACGTGTTGACCACCAGCTAACTGGGCAGGGGCTGGCTCGTGGCTCCGGATCTCTTCTGAGGGCACACGGGATGCCATGCTTAACTCTGAGGTGGTAGGGCCGGCCAGCTGGGCACGGGGAGCAGGAGAAGCCGGGTGGCCGCGGCCTCCTCGATGACATCAGCCCGTCTCCTGCATGGCGTGGCCCCTCACTTGGATTTCTCCTCCCCGGGCAGAGGCAGGTGCCAGTCCCTGGGAGGGCTCTGCCTCATGTGCCACACTGGGGCATGCTTCTGCTTGGCCAGGATGCGGGCTTGCTCACTCTTGCAGAGGCACTGCTGTATAAACAAGAGGCCGGCTCAAACCTGGCTGCCCGGATCCCTGCAGTAGAGAGCCCCTCCTCTGCCCTTGCGGACCTGGGCCTTCCGGGTGTGTCCAAAGGCCCGAGGAGGATTGTCTCCAACACGGTAGGCAGGTGCCTGGGGCAATTTGCCGAGCCTCTCTAAGCCTCCCAGAAGGGAAGCCCCTGGAGGGCAGGGCCTCTGTATCCCCAGCAGCGAGCATACAGTAGGAGTTTAATAAATGCTAACTTGAATGCAATCTGTAAAATGGACTTACTGCTTTTACTTGTACCAGCTAAAGGGCTCTGTAAGCCCTAGCTGGCCCTGGGATGGGGTCTCCTCTTACTGCTTAGCCGCCCCCCACAGCCCAGAAAGGTGCTGGACACACCCACCAGCACTGCCTGTTTTCCCAATTCTCCCTCCTCAGCTCCAACACCAAGCTGTGAACCCTCTCCGCCCCCCCCCAGCTACCCTGCCTAGCCCTGCCCCCACGGAAGCCCCCTGGAGAGCTCCAGGGGAGGGCGAGGCCTTCTGGTTCCATTGGTTTTCCCATTTCCCACCCGTGCTCCATTGGTGTAGACAGGCGTTCACGTCAGAGCCCAGGGCAGGAGGGTCACGCTCTTCCCTTTTCTGTAAATCTGGGTAACTGTAAGCCCCCACCACTCAGGTGCAGAGGAGACGCACCCTTCCCACCCCAGATCTCACGATCCTTCCTGTGGCCCAGCCCACAGAAGGGCACCTTCTCCTTCTCCTTCCCCAGCTGATCCCCCTCCCCACCTGGGCTGAAGGGAAGCCCCAGCCCCACTCCCTGGGCCCCTTCCTGACAGTCCCCGGTTGGGGTTATCTGGCTGCCTTGCTCCATCTCCTCTGTCCCCCAACTGCTCCCCATCCCTGGACCTTACCTGTGGTCCACACAGAAGCTCTCAATTGGGCTTCCCCTGTTCTGCAGGACAGGTGTTAGCCCAAAGGCTGGATCATTGCCCTCCCCCCCCACCAAGTGAATCCCAACACTGGCCCAGGATACCTTGGCCTCCGGGCTCCCGCTCTCCTCCCACTGCCGGCAGTGTCTGTAATCTCGTTTCCACTGGTCACAGGCCGGGGTCTCCCCGTACGTGTAGTAGTGGTGCAGGAAGTTCCTCACCGTCCGGCAGTGCTTCCACTCAGCCCAGTAATGCTCGCAGCTCCGGGGAGGCTGCAGAGGCCAAAGACAGACAGGTAGGGGAAGGCTCGGAAGGAGGGCCGCAGCCCAGGGGGGCCGTGCTCATGGAAGGAGGTGGCCATCAGGGTGTGCCGGCAGGGCCCCCTCCTCCCTGCCTGTCTCAGGCCCTCACAGTAGCCAGTCACAGAGGAGCTGAGAGCCCTGCAGTTGAATCTGGCCTATGAAACGCCAGGAGTGTGACTTCGGGCCTCTGGGCCTTGGTGTTCTCATCTGTAAAATGGAGACAACCTCCCATGGCCTCCCAGAGCGGACAGATGACTTCATTCCTGCTTTTCTAACCCCGGCCCCTAGCAGTACCTGGCATATAGGAGGTCTTTAACACATGTCTGCTGAATTGAAAGTGCTTGTAAAGAATGATGACAGCTAGCCTTTATATAGTGGTTTAAGTTGTGCAAAGTGCTTTACAAAAATTATCTCATTTGATCCACACAGTGACTGTGGGCGGTGGTGCTACTATGATCCCTAGTCTACAGTTGAGGAAACTGAGGCAGACAAAGGTTAAGTAACTTGTCCAGGGTTACACAGCTATTAAGAATCTGAGGCCAGGCGCAGGTAGGTGGCACAGTGGATAGAGCACCGGCCCTAGTCAGGAGGACCTAAGTTCAAATTGGGCCTCAGACACATAACACTCACTAGCTGTGTGACTCTGGGCAAGTCACTTAACCCCAAATGCCTCAGGAAAAAAAAAAAAAGAATCTGAGGCCAAATTTGAATTCAGTTCTTCCTGACTCCAGGTCCAGCTGTCAATCCACTGTGCCACCTAATTTACCCATCTTTAAAATTATCTTTTGGGCTGCTAGGTGGTGCAGTAGAGAGAGTGCTGGGCCGAGTCAGGAAAATTCATCTACCTCACTTCAAATCTATCCTTTGACACTTCCTAGCTGTGTGACCCTAGGCAAATCATTTCACCCTGTCTGCCTCAGTTTCCTCATCCATAAAATGAACTGGAGAAAGAAATGACAAACCACTCCAGGATGTCTGCCAAGAAAACCCCAAATGGGGTCAAGGAGAGTCAGACATGACTGAAAAACAACTGAACAACATCCCTTCCAATTTTAATATTTCTTGAGTCTCTTGGGCTTTGAAACTTACTACTTGTGTGGTTCAGCTCCCAGAACCTTGTTCCCACCCCCCTCCCATTCAACTTCCCCCCATTAGACTGTAAGCTCCTTGAGGGCAGCAACTACCTTTTGCCTTTCTTTGTATCCCCAGTGCCTAGCATATAGTAGGTGTTTAATGTTTATCATATTGTATCTCTCAACCTCAGTTCCCTCATCTGTAAAATGGGGATAGTCATCTATGTCAGAGGAAGGCTGAGAGAAAAGTACTTTGAAAACATTTTCAAAAGCAGTTTGGAATTATGCATATAAAGAGTCTAAAATGTCCACACCCTTAGACTCTGAGATTCCATTACCAGGCTTATCCCCAAGGAGGTCACTGATAAGAAGATTAAGTCCTCATATACACAAAATTATTTCTAGCAGCATATTTTGTGTTAGTAAAGAACTGGAAACAAAGTAGAAGCCCACTGATTGAGGAACAGATAAATAAGTTGGGGCACCGTTACATGTTTTAAGGAACAAGAATATGGCTTCCACAGAGAAGGAGGGGGAAGATCGCATGATCTTATGCAGAGTGAAGTAAGCAGGGACAAGAATACAGCATACACAGTGAGCAGTCCTGTAAACCCAGGAGCCACAACACAACATCCCAAGTGAATGCCACACAATGACATGGAGCAGGCATGGGGAGAGCTCCACCCGTGGACTACGCTGCATACATTTTCTTTGTTTTTTTTTCTCAAGGCATTAATCTGCTTTGCTAATTTTTTTTTCCTTAAAAATATTTGTTATACGGAATGGCTTTCTGGGAGGAGGAGATAAAAGGATACTGGGAGAAAATTCTGGTGATGTAAAATACAAGATATCAATACAATTTTATTTATTTTTATTAAAAAAGAGCCTACAGACACACGGGGGCCGCCATTACTATGTCTCCCCTCTGAGCCTGTTTCAAAGGGAGAGAAGATAGTCCCAGGGGTGTTGTTACTGTCATCACCATCATTATCACCTAGCCCTACTGATGGGCTCAGTGCAGGCCCTCAGCTCCCAGGCCCTGGCAGGCTACCCCCTTCTGTACCAAGCTACTCGCGCCTCCTGCCCCTAACCCAGGCAGGCTTGGGCCTCCCACCACCCTGACTCCCACCCCTCAGCTCTCCCCAGGTCCCCTCAACTGTCAGTTTCCTCTTGACCCCGCCTCCAGCCTCAGGTCCACTTCTTACTCCCGCCCCTTCAAGAAATCAACTCAGTTTCCCTCTTAGCCCCGCCCCTAGCCTCAGTCCAGGTCCCCAGCATTGACCACGCCCCCTCATCACCCTAAGTGCTGATTTGAACTCCTTAGCCTCACTGAAAGCTCCCATCTCAGACAAGCTCCGTCGGCCCCGCCCCCCAGTCTTAGCCCCACCCCTTAGCCCCCTGCTTCTGGTCTTGCGGGCTCAGGCTTTATCATCTCAACTGTCAGCTCCGCCTCCTCATTCATGAACACGCCCTCCTCCCTGCTAGCCCCGCCCACCAGAACACTGCCCCTCCCCAATTCCTCCCGCCCTCAGCCTCTCTTACACGGCACCAGCTAAGTCCCGCCCCTCGGCCCTTGGGCCCCGCCCCCTAGCTGCCTGTCCTAGGCCCGGCTCCCTCTGTCTCCAGGCCTGCTCGGCCTCGGGCCTCCCCATTGTTCCTCCTCCTGCCCCTCGCCCTGACCCCAACCCCAGCCTCGCTCCCGATCCCTCCCAGCCCCTCAAGCCGCCTCCGTGACCCCTCACGAACCCTCCAGAAGCGCTCGTTAGCGTCACCCATTTTGCAGCTCATGACCTGTCCCGTCTCTTTAGCATATTAGCCAATAGAAGGGGTTCAGCCTCTTGTAAGGAGATTGACATCTCTGTGAACCAATGATCTTCCAGCTCCAAAGCGGCCAACCCTTTCCCCGGTGAGGCGGGACTTGAGGGGTTACCTCCTGTCGGAGTAGGTGGGGGTGGGGGGTGGGTTCTGTTGCACGGAGGAGACTTGTACGTGCGCGAAAATTAACGCGTAACTCCTCCTGCCTCTCACTGGGTCCCATCCCGCCTCTACTTGAAGACTTTGTCTGATGGGGAGCTCACTACCTTTCTCCTAGTGTTTGTGCCTTACACCAAACAAGGCTGAGAACGGGGGCGAATGGAGGACCCAGATCCCCTCGTCCCCTCCCCCTTTCTCCCGGTGGTCTCCCCTTCCCTCCGGATTTGGCTTTTAAATAGTCCCGCAGGATACCCTGGTTCCCCTCTCCGAGCCTTTGCACTGGCGCCAGGGATTCCCTCCTCACCTCTGCCTGTCTGAATCCCTGGTTTCTTTCAAGATCACTGAGCTCGGCTCCAGGGGCACCTTTCACGTGGAGCTCATCGTGTCTCACCCCCAGCCTGGGGCTCGTTCACCCCCAAAATTCCCGTGTTTATTTTGTGCACAAAATGCACGTACATGTCTGTCCACAAGCGTCATCAAGCACCTACTATGTGGCCCACGACAGCCCCTTCCCTCGAGGAGCTCGCAGCCTAGTGAGCTGTGATAATGCTCATGATTGCGCATCATAACGTAATGACAACGACCCCGGCGTCTCCCTAGCCCGCCAGCCTGGGGTCCGGGACCTTATCCCCAGTATTTGTAAAGCGCGGGGCCGGGCACACAGTAGGCGCTTCATAAATACCCGTCCCCTTTCTTTTTCTCCTCCCTCCCCACGCCCAGGAGAGGGCTGAGCCTGGTTCTGGGCAGGGCCTGGTCGGCCGCCCCCCAGGAGTCAGGAGGGCGGCCCAGCCTGCTCACCCAGGGCAGGGGGCTGGTCTGGGGCAGGAGCAGGCTGCCTGTGGTCCTTGTGGGGCTGGGGCTCCTGGCTCTGGATTCATCCCGGGGGTCCTGAGGGCCGGGGCTGTCCTGTGCCCGGCTCCTGGACAGTGCAGTCTGGCACTTAGTCTGGTGGCATTATTGCCACTATTTTTATTCCTTCACCTCATCCAGAAAGGAGGGGGCTGAAATCAGATGGCTTCCTTGAGGTGACAAAAGCTGGACTTGGAAGGCAGGCCTGAATCAGAACTGGCCAGCCTCAGCTTTCCCTTCTGTAAAATCGGGTTATACAGTGACAGCTCCTGCCTCCCAGGGTGCTGGTAATGAGGATCAACCAGACCTTTGCAGACAGCAGGGGCGAGCCAGGAGGCCTTATGGAAATGCCGGCTTCTGTGATTGTCATGGAAACAGAGAAATCTGGGGCACTTGGAATTCCTGCGGACCGGGAAAAGGGAAGGGCAGGGCCAACAGCCTGAAGCAGCTGGGGGGGCTAGGAGACTGGTCAGGCCCTCAGACCCTGGACAGCCCATCCGGGACCCCTGAGCAGAGCTGATGGACCCAGGGGCAGAGCGAGACAAAGATGTTATTTTTGGGACATGGCAAATGAGGGAAAAGAACCGTTGTTGGGTCTTTTCAGTTGTGTCGGCCTCTTCGTGGCCCCATTTGGGACTTTCTTGGCAGAGATACTGGCACGGTTTTGCCATTTTCCTTCTCCGCCTCATTTTACAGATAAGGAAACTGGGGCAGAAAAGGTGAAGTGACTTGCCGAGGGTCACACACAATTGAACTCAGGAAGATGAGTCTCCCTGACTCCTCTATCCACTATGGCGCCCTCTAGTGGCTCTATCTGCCTACACATTTTCTTTCTCTGGTGAAGGGAGAGTGGGAGAAGAGGTGGATTTTCCTAAACTGAAAATAAAAATAAAATGTTTTCAGAGAGAGAGAGAGCCAGCCTTTCCTTTCCACGTGCTCCAGGCGTTGGCAGGCCCCCGGGTGGAGGCAGGCTATCGGCAAGCATTCAGACGTTTCCCAGAATGGGCGGCAGGCTCTGCGCAGCCAGACACGACTTCGGTCACACCGCTGCTGCGGGCGCGATCCTTGGACTCCAGTCCACGTGACATTTGAGGCGCCGCCATGCGTACAGGACTGTGACCCCAACAGCTCTCTTCTCAGCAGAAGACGGGGACCCTCCGGGCTGGAGCTGTTAGCTTGCGGGGCACTTTCAGATGGTTCGTAACCTTCGTGCCTCCTGGACCCCTTGGAAGTCTGGTGAAGCCTAGGGACCCCTTGTCAGAATAAAGTGCTTAAATGCATAAACTACATAGGGTTACAAAGGAAACGAATTATGTTCAAATTGGACATTCCGTCGTTTTCAGTTGTGTCTGACTCTGTGACCCCATTGGGGGTTTTCTTGGCAGAGATACTGCAGTGTTCGGCCTTTCCTCCTCCAGCTCATTTTACAAATGAGGAGACAGAGGCAAACAGGGTGCAGTGACTTGCCCAGGGTCACACAGCTAGGAAGTGTCCGAGGCCAAATCTGAACCCAGGTCCTCCTGACTCCAGGCCCAGCACTCTGTCCACTGTACCTAGTCGCCCCTACATTGACCTAATCAGAAAAAGATGTTTTTAAGTTCATGGACTCCAAGTCAAGAGCCTCTGATTTGGTGCCAGGGGACCCCTCAAAAGCAAACTTGAAAACGCTCTAAAAACATGGGCTGCCAAGGTTTAAGGAAGCCCTTTCCTTACAACCACACTGGGTACAGTTCGGGCAAGTCCTGACGATTCCCATTTTACAGATGAGGAAAATAAGACGGGACAGAAACCACAGCCCTAAGTCAGAAAGGATTCTGGCAATCATGTTAGAGCCGAGAAAATCAAGGCCGAGTGGTGGTGACCTCCCCAAGGTCCCAAGGCACTGAGCAGCACAGCAGGGCCAAGGATACCAAGGCCAGTGCCCCTTCCTCCGGCCATCGCCAATGATCAGAGCTGGGAGGGGGTGCGGTGCCCTCCCTCCTGCCTCCAGCCTTCGATAGTGACAATGGCAGAGGCTCCCCTTGGCACACAAACGTGGCTTAGAGTCACGACGAACCACCCTGGTGCTACGGTGATGCCCTTTATTATCTATTTAATCACCAGGTATCAGTTATCCAAGGCGTGAGAGCGGGCCGGTGCCTCTGGCTCCCGTAGGGTCTCACTGTGGCCTCTCAGCTCTATCTGATTCAGAGCACACAATCCTCCCAAGGCCTCTCGAGGGCCCCACACTGGGCCCCGACTCCAGACAGAAGGCATCTGTTCTGGCTAGGCTCAGGATGCCAAGATGGCATATGCTGCTGTTCTATCTAAGGAGCAGGAGGCACACTGCCCTCGTCAGAAAGACCTTCAGTGCCCTCCCTCCACGGGGGCCTGCTCAGCTAGTCTCTTCTCTTCTGGGGTGGGGTTTAATAAAAGCACAAGAGAGGGTCACCACCCTATTTGATTGACATGGCCAAGCCTGGCTGCACAGGCTCTCAGGATAGGCCAGGCACCAGGGATCGAGAGCCAGAAGGGACTCGGCATGCCTGGAGGGTCCAGAAAAATCTATCTCTGTGATCTCTGTGACCTCTTCTCGTCAGCTGGTACGAAGGGAGCACTGGCAGAAAGGAACCTGATGTGGTTCAGGGGCCCAGGACTCCCTGTTCTCCTTTGTGAATGCAGACTCTGAAAGCTCTTCCAACAAGCCAGGCCAGGATGTTGGAGACCCCACAGCTGTGCCAACACATTTAAAAAAAGCAAAATCTCAGAAAAGCCTGGGAAGATCTGCATGAACTGATGCAAGGTGGGGTGCGCAGAACCAGGAGACCATCATGCACAAACAGTAACATTGTACGAAGGCCAGCTGTGAGTGACCAAGCTCTTCTCAGCGATACAATGAGCAATACATTTCTGAAGGCCTCATGAGGAAAGGTGCTGTGGAGAAAGAACTGCTGAAGCCTCAATGCAGATCAAAGACACTTTTTCTTCACTGTCTTTATTTTTGGTTTCGTTCTGTTTTCTTTCACAGCATCACTTACATGGGAATGTGTTTTCCATGACTACACACATATAACCCATGTCAAATTGCCTTCTCAGTGAAGGAAAGAATTTGGAACTCAAAATTTGAAAAAACAGAGTGTTAACATTGCTTTTTAAATGTAATTGGGGAAAAAATAAAATGTTAAATTTTTTAAAAAAAGCAAAAAAAGCCAAGACCCAAGTCCAGAAAAACCAGTATTAAATCAACAGCAGAACTGGAGAGTCTAGAATAAGGCAGACCTCTTGTCCAACCAGCACGAATGAGACCTAGAACATTTAAGTGAGGCCAGTAATGAAGCCACATCAATAATGCCGATGAGAAAACTGGGAAATGTCCTCGGCAAACATCTGCTCCAATGTTTGGGTTCTTGAAACTCTACAAGCATGGAGACAGTTGCTACAGAACATGTTTATTAAGGGAACACAATGATTTCCACCATCAGCCTCAATAATGAAGAGTTTGCCAATTATCATCTTCTTTCTGGGGGGTTTGTGGCTTGGACAAGTTAAGAGAACAAACCCTTTCTAGGGGTGACCACTGCAGTCAACTCCACAGAGCTGAGCAATCGGCATTTCTGGGGGGGATAAAAAAGAAGCATGGAGAGAAGGTACTTGGGCACCCCCCACACTCAGGCCACGCTATCCCTCTCCGACCAGGTTAGTTGGAGAGATAGAGCCCATGCTCAGACCAAGCCAATGGAGACCCCCAGCTGCAGGGGTAAGGTGCAGAGGGCTCGCCTACTGCCTCAGTGACTTGGAGACAGTCCAGTCCTGCTGGTCCTTTCCCAAAAAGCACACTGCCACCGAGTCCTGAATTCTGGGCTGGGCAGAGGAGGTATTTCTTAAGAAACTCTAAAGGAAACGAACAGCAGGTCATGAAGTATCCTCTGGTGATCATCTTCTGTCCCTGACAAATCCAGTAACTAAAGCCAAAAGATTGAAATAGATTATTTTATTTTCTAATTAGCCAGGGCCCAAATTCACGGC